TCTTGGCAACCAGAAGTTTGTATTCTATGTCTATGAGTCTGTTTCTGTTTTGTATTCATGTTTGTTTTGTTTAGATTCCACATATGAGCGATCTCATATGGTATTTTTCTTTCTCTTTCTGGCTTACTTCACTTAGAATGACATTCTCCAGGAACATCCATGTTGCTACAAATGGTGTTATGTTGTCGTTTTTATGGCTGAATAGTATTCCACTGTATAAATATACCACGTCTTCTTTATCCAGTCATCTGTCGATGGACATTTAGGCTGTTTCCATGTCTTGGCTATTGTAAATAGTGCTGCTATGAACATTGGGGTGCAGGTGTCATTTTCAAGTAGGATTCCTTCTGGATATATGCCCAGGAGTGGGATTCCTGGGTCATATGGTAAGTCTATTCCTAGTCTTTTGAGGAATCTCCATACTGTTTTCCTTTTTCTTTTTAGTTTTGAGAGTTCTAATTCTTTATATATTCTCAATGCAACTTTGTTGGATAAGTGATTTGTAAATATTTTCTCCCATTCCATGGCTTTTCATTCTCTTAACAGTGTCCTTTTGGAAAAAAAAATATATGTTTTTAAAAATTTATTTATGTATTTTACAATATCATACTTTTAAAATTGAAGTATAGTTGATTTACAACATTATGTGTTACAGGTATACAATGTAGTGATTCAGCTTTTAAAGGTTAGGGTATAGTTATTATAAAATAGTGGCTCTATTCCCCATGTTGTACAGTACATCCTTCTAGCTTATTTTATACCTGCTAGTTTGTACCTCTTAATCCTCCACCTCCATCTTGCTCCTCCCTCTTCCCCCTCCCCACTGGTAACCACTAGTTCCTTCTCTACATCTGTGCCTTTTCTGTTATATCCACTAGTTTGTTGTATTTTTTAAGACTTCACATGTAAGTGATATCTTAAACAGTATTTGTCTTTCTCTTAACAATGTTTTTTGAATTTTGGTGTCACATCAAAGAAATACCTGGCTAACCTGAGGTTAAAAAGATTTTCGCTTGTATTTTCTTCTAAAAATTTTGTAGGTTTAGATGTTACATTAAGTTTGTGATCCATTTTGAGTTTCTATATGTGTTGGAGGTATGGATTGAAGTTCTTTTTTTTTTTTTTGCATATGGATATCCAGTTGTCCCGACACTATTTGTTGAAATGGGAACTCCCATTTTCCATGGATGTGCCTTTGCACTTGTCAAAAATAATTTTTAAGTAGAAAGATATAAAGTACATTTAATTATACCATACATGAAGTACAGTTTATAAGTGTACAGCTTGCTGAATTATCACAACGTGAAAAAACTGTATGACCACCCCCAGGTCAAGATTAGAACATAATCAGGACTTTCAAATCCCCTTTTATGCCCTCTTCCAACCAATAGCAGCCCCAAAGGTAGCCATCCTCCTGACTTCTAATAGGGATTAGCCTTGCTTGTTCTCTTATTGTGTATAAATAGAATCATGCAGTATGTACTCTTGTGTCTGGATTCTTTTGCTCATCAGTATCTCTGTGAGATTCATCGATGTTGGATATGCAGTTGTAGTTCATTCCTTTTTGTTACCACATAGTATTCCATTGAAAGACTGTGCCACAATTTACCTGTTCTATTGTCAAGTTGGATTTTGCCCACAACTTAGTATTAGAAACAGTGCTGCTGTGACCATCTTGTACTTGTTTGCTAAAGCCCATGTGCATGGTTTTCTCTAAGGTGTGTACCTAGGAGTAGAATTGCTGGGCCATAGTGTTTGCAAGTCATTAACTTTAGTAAATAATGCTGAACTGTTTCGCCAAGCAGTTGTACCAGTTTTTACATTCCTAACTCACAGTGTGTGAGAGTTCCCATTTCGACACAATCTTATGGTACTTCAGTCTGCTTAATTATAACATTTCTGGTGGGTGCCTAGTGATGTCTCAGTGTGGCCTAAATTTCCATTATACCTAAGTGCTAATGGAGTTGAATACATTTTCTTATATTTATCAAACATATATCCATATGTTTTTCTTTTTTAGCAAAGTATCTATTCACATCTCTTGTCTATTTTTCTGTGTGGCTTGTATATTTCTTTTGATTTGTAGGGGTTATTTTCTGTGTGCCAGATACAAACCCTTTATCACTTATGAAATTTGCAGATAATCTCCCCATCTATAGCTTGCCTTTTTACCATTATAGTTTTAATCTTGAAGCACTTCAGTCTTTTCCTTTATGAGTAGTGCTTTTCATGTCTTGTCTTTGAATTTTTTTCCCTACCCCAAGCCTCTGAAAACATTTTCCTCCTATATTATTTTCCAGACACTTCATTGTGTTACGTTTCATATTAGATTTACAATTTACCTATAGCTGATTTTTGTGCATGTTGAGAGTTAGGGGTTAAATGTCATTTTTTCCCCATATAGATTTCCGGTAACCCATCCACATTTATTTAAAAATATCATCCTCTCCCCACTGTTTGGCAGTTTCAACTTTACCATAACTCAAGTGTTTATACATATTTGGATTCTCTTTTTAGTTCTACTGGACTGTTTATCTATCCGTCTATCCTTGTGCTAATACCACATTGTCTTACATTTTCTATTATTTAATGTAATAGTGTCTCTGCTGTGATTTGTGATTTTTCTTCCCACAAAGTAGGTTACTAACTTGATAGGCATCATGTATAAGTCATCATCGTGAACTGGGAACCCAATCAGAAGTTCCCCTACATTCCATCCTTCTTACCTCATGGTCAGCATTTGAGAATAAAAGAATTTACAATTACAGGGACTCATGACATTTGAGGATGTGGCTGTGAATTTCACCCAGGAGGAGTGGCAGTACCTGAACCCTCCACAGAAGACCCTATACAGAGACGTGATGCTGGAGACCTACAGCCACCTGGTCTCTGTGGGTAAGAATGGCTTCCTCAGGGAATTTTGCTGTTTATGATTACTGTGTCCAACAGAAGGCCTTTCCTTTCTCAATTTTGGAAACTTGAAGCAAGGCCTCTGAACTGATTGAAGACTTTGGTATTGAATTCCAGGGATCAGAGTTCCTTTTCCCCCTTTGCTTTCCTGACAAGGTGTTTGTGAACTCAAAACCCAGGTGAATTGGCTTGACTACCACTGTGTCAAGTGACAGGTCCCTTGTGCTGCCCCGAACTCCACCTTCCTTTTTCTCAGAGGCTCTGAGGACAAAGGAGGTATCGCTGTCATTTCTCATCAGCAGGGCAGCAGATTACCAAACCAGATCTCATCCTCAAATTGGAGGTAGAAGAGCCGTGCCTGACAGAAGGAAAAATCCCAGTTTGGAGCTTTCCAGGTAAGTGGGATTGACCCAGGTTATGGGGACACGAAGTCCCAGCTTGTCAGTCAGGGGTGAGGACCTCTGAAAGGACTTTCAGGAATATCTTGGGAATGGCTGTGGCCCTCTGATGTTGGAGGATAAGGACATGAACACCTAAGACTGATATCCCCTCCCCTGTCCTAAACCCATCAGACCATTCTCCTTAAGTTGGTGCTCACCCGTAAGTTTCTGCACAGCTCCATTTCCCTGTATAAAGGTGTCTTGTAAATGCCAATCCCCCAGCCCCAAGCCCTGCCACTTCCATGGTTCTCATTTCTCAGTGCCTCATCTGAAGCCAGGCCCACATTAGTCGCAGGCCAAGGTGCTAATACTCTTAATTCTGGATGGAAATACCTGATTCCATTCAGTTTAGTTATTCCTATCAGGTTTGCTCCTAAAGCATCTTAATTATCTCTTTAAAAATAGCTTTATTAAGATATAATGCACATACAATAAAATTCACTCTTTTGAAGTATACAAATTCAGTGATTTCCAGTATATTCATAGAATTGTGCAAGCATCACCACTGTCTAATTCAAGAACATTATCACCAGCCTCAAAAGAAACCCCTAATTATATTTCCTGTCTCTGCCCTGGAATCAGCCATTTCGCCAAGGAACCTTGTTTCTTTCTAGTGGTAAATAATGTTTTGTGACCACAATTTGGATGTTAGGGAGTTATTTCTAGGCCTTTTCATTGTAGTTAGGAACTATGTAAAAAAAAAGATTAAGAGGAAATGTATCATGGATTCAAATTGATATTTCCAAATCAAGTTCTGGACTTAAAGGTTTTAAATTTATTAATCTTACATCTGATGGTAGTATCATCAGTATTATTCTGAGACTGCTGAATGTGTATAGTGGGTTGAATCAGTTGAGGTAATCATGTTGGTGCCACTAAGAATCAAGACTTTTCAGCATGGTTGTTAGGCGATATAGATGAAGGGGGTATTTGCTGTTATTAGAGAATTCTTTTATTTTCAAATTTTGCTTTATGATTATATAAAATACTTGCAAAATTTTTACCTTGGTTCCAAAATCAAATCTAGAAAACAAGCTATATTCAAGGAAGTCCAGCCTCGTACCCTCTCCATCCTACTCTCTTCCTTCCTCCCCCCGTAGGTAACCATTTATTAAAATTTAAAGGTTTATCCTTCCATTGCTTTTTATAATATGAGCCTCTGTTATTTTAAACATAAATCTTTATTTCCTTCCTTATAAAAATGGTAGCCTACAATGTACATTTTTTATTGAGTTATAGTCAGTTTACAATGTTGTATCAATTTCTAGTGTAGAGCACAATTTTTCAGTTATACATGAACATACATGAACATTCATTGTTGCATTCTTTTTTGCTGTGAGCTACCACAATATCTTGTATATGTTTCCCTGTGCTATACAGTATAATCTTGTTTATCTATTCTACATATGCCTGTCAGTATCTACAAATTTCAAACTCCCAGTCTGTCCCTTCCCACCCACCCCCCCGCAACCACAAGTTTGTATTCTATTTCTATGAGTCTGTTTCTGTTTTGTATTTATGTGTTTTTTGTTTTGTTTTGTTTTGTTTTAGATTCCACATATGAGCAATCTCATATGGTATTTTTCTTTCTCTTTCTGGCTTACTTCACTTAGAATGATATTCTCCAGGAACATCCATGTTGCTGCAAATGGCGTTATGTTCTCATTTTTTATGGCTGAGTAGTATTCCATTGTATAAATATACCACATCTTCTTTATCCAGTCATCTGTCGATGGACATTTAGGCTGTTTCTGTGTCTTGGCTATTGTAAATAATGCTGCTATGAACATTGGATTCTTTTTGAAGTAGGGTTCCTTCTGGATATGTGCCCAGGAGCGGGCTATTATTTTAAACATCATTTATATATTTAAATATTATTTAAACATATATCTTTAAACATACATCTTTTTATTTTAAACATATATCTTTATTTTCTTCCTTATAAAAATGGTAGCCTACAGTGTACATTTTTATTCACCTTCTTTTTTCAGTTAATTCAAGAACATGTTAAATATACTGAGATAGTCCTTATTTCTTTTTATAGTAATGTAGTGACTCTTAATCATAATAGTAGTAGTTATTGTAGTAGTAGTAGTAGTTGTTCTAGTAAACAGGTGAAGTGCTGTGCATGCCTTGTTATAATTAGTTTAATCCTATCAACATACATTTGGGTGGGTACTGTTACAGCTCCTATTTTCCAGGTGTGAAAGTAAGATACAGATAGATTAGATAACATGCCTGAGGTCACAGAACAAGTAAAAGGCTGATTTGAGATTTGATCCTGGGCTAGAGAACTTATGACTGTAGCCACATTCGCTATGCTGCTCCTTACCACCTTAAAGAGGTCCAGACTCAGTAGATCCTTGGTGGAGCTTGGGTCCCATCAAATGTATTTTGTAAAAAAGCTTTTCCTGTGATTCTGATTTTCACTCCCAGTTAAGAACTAGTGCTTTACTATTGAAAGAAAGGAAGTCACAGGAAGAGAAGCCACAGCTGCATGATCCATTTTAAAATTCAGTATTACTCTCAAATGTTGTTATTATATCTAAGTGGTAATATGAGTAGTTATTTTACTCTTCTTTCAACTTTTCTGTATGTTTGAAACTTTTCATATAAAATTTTAGGAAAAGGTGAGAAGAAAATTAAAGTACAAAAAATTAAAATTCAGTATATGGGCAAAAAGGATTTACCACATTGTCTTGACCAAGATACCACTGATTTTAAGACACAGCACTAAGAAAATTTGCCACCAAATTATGACACATCACTGATTGTAAGGTGTATTTGGATTCAGAAGTATTAAAATATAGAACAATATGCATCTTGTAATTGATGAAATATGGTATGTTAAGGCAAGGCTTTGCAGTTTTAACTGTCTAAATGAGTGGTACAGATAACCAACTACTTTAGAAGTTAATAAAAGTAAAAGATATACAGGAAGATCAGAGTCAGCTTTTTTGAAAAGAGTGAACTGCTTCTTGAAAGTTATCTAGATTCTGAATATATCAAAATATGGAGGACTGGGCTATGTGGGTGATGGGACATGAGGAAGGGTTTGGAGTTAATAATATACATCGTTTTAAGTGGAAATTAGTGTAGACAGGAGCAGAAGGTGGTGTCAAAGAACTGTGAATGCAAACTTGGATGAATACAAAGGTGAATCAAGATTGGGCAAAAATTTTTAGGTTTCTTTGTTTTTGTAAGGCTAATTATTCTAGATCTTTCTCTCATTTACTGATAATGTGGATTTGTGATAATGTTGTAAGATTTGAGTCCACAAATCACACTGTTGCATTTCTACCTATGTGGAAATAGTATATAGTCAGGTACAGTTATGAGTTCATATGATAAATGAAGATAAAGGGTGGTAAGTCACCAGAGTGATGCAAAAGTAAGGGTAAGAAAGACTGACGTGTTAGGGTCAGATTGTTCTTGGTAACAAAAAGGCTAGCAGGTAGGAGTTTAGTAAAAGAACAGGATTGGATGGTCAAGATTCTCTCTCCAATAAAATGAGGTAACAGTATCAGCTTTCCTTCGGCAGGACATTTCTAAAGAAGGTCCATTTGATAATGTCCAAGGATAAAGATGGTTTATTGTACTTTCCAGAAGAAGCCTTCCAGGCTGATGAACAAATTGAGAGACAGCACCAGGATGACCAAGATAAACATGTGATGCAAGCTGGATTCCCTGACAAGAGAGCCATTACCACCAAGATTGGCCATGACTATAATGAATTTGGAAACATACTTCATCTCAGTACAAACTTTGTTGCTTCAATACAAAGACCCCATAAACATGAGTCATTTGGGCATATGGTAGATAATTTAGACTTATTTGGTAGAAGCTCTGCAGAAAAGAAACATGATAATGGATGTGCAAAATTATTCTTCCATACTGAGTATGAGAAAACAACTCCTGGAATGAAACCTTATGGCTATAAAGAGTGTGGGAAGACCCTCAGGCAAAAGAAAGGCCTTAGTCTACATCAGAGAATTAAAAATGGAGAGAAACCCTTTGAATGTACTGCATGTAGGAAAACCTTCAGCAAGAAGTCACACCTCATCGTGCACTGGAGAACTCACACAGGAGAGAAGCCCTTTGGATGTACTGAATGTGGAAAAGCCTTTAGCCAAAAATCTCAGCTCATCATACACCTGAGAACTCATACAGGAGAGCGACCCTTTGAGTGTCCAGAATGTGGAAAGGCCTTTAGAGAAAAGTCAACTGTCATCATCCATTACAGGACTCATACAGGAGAGAAACCTTACGAATGTAATGAATGTGGCAAAGCCTTCACCCAGAAGTCAAACCTCATTGTCCATCAGAAAACCCACACAGGAGAAAAAACTTATGAATGCACCAAATGTGGGGAGTCTTTCATACAGAAGCTTGATCTAATTATACATCACAGTACTCATACAGGAAAGAAACCCCACGAATGTAATGAGTGTAAGAAAACTTTCAGTGATAAGTCGACTCTCATTATTCATCAACGAACTCATACGGGAGAGAAACCTCATAAATGTACTGAATGTGGGAAGTCTTTCAATGAGAAGTCAACCCTCATCGTGCATCAGCGAACTCATACAGGAGAGAAACCCTATGAATGTGATGTGTGTGGGAAAACCTTCACTCAAAAGTCTAACCTTGGGGTACATCAGAGAACTCATTCAGGAGAGAAACCCTTTGAATGTAATGAATGTGAGAAAGCATTCTCTCAGAAATCCTATCTCATGCTACACCAGAGAGGTCATACAGGAGAGAAGCCCTATGAATGCAGTGAATGTGAAAAAGCATTTTCCCAGAAATCCTATCTCATTATTCATCAAAGAACGCATACGGAAGAAAAACCCTATAAATGTAACGAATGTGGCAAAGCCTTCAGAGAAAAGTCAAAACTCATTATCCATCAGAGAATTCATACGGGAGAGAAACCCTATGAATGTCCTGTATGTTGGAAAGCTTTCAGCCAGAAGTCACAGCTCATAATCCATCAGCGAACACACACAGGAGAGAAACCCTATGCATGCACCGAGTGTGGCAAAGCCTTCAGAGAGAAATCAACGTTCACTGTACACCAGAGAACTCATACTGGAGAGAAACCCTATAAGTGTACAGAATGTGGGAAAGCCTTTACCCAAAAATCAAATCTTATAGTCCATCAGAGAACACATGCAGTAAAGAAAGCCCATGGGAAAGGCCATACCCGGAAGTCCAAGCTCATTGCCCATTAGTAAGTCACCGGTACAGTTCCCTTCACTGCGGGAAAGTTTTGTCAATGTAAGTAAATGTTTTAAAAGTGTGTTCTGACCTCTGGTTTAAATATGGGGCATAAAGTCAGCCTTTTTCCTTTTCATCTCAGTCTTCACCCGAAAGCTACAAGGAGAAGAAGAAGCAGAAGTGTAATCTCTGTATCTGACAAAATTAGGAAACAGCCGAAACCCCGATTAGAGGGGGCTGCCAGAAGCAGAGGAAATCAAGCACCAGTGCAAGGAGGGTTCAAAGGTTAGAGAGAGTGCTCAAGGCTGCAGATGTGAGACAGCACTGGCGAGGACGCAGCCGAGTTTTAGGCTATCCCCTGAGTGCAAGGCCACAGAGATACACAACAGTGGTAACAGGGCACAGGCAAGTGAGGTAGGATGTTTCCTGGACCCATTTGGAGTCTCAGGAGAGACAGGCAAGGGCCTCAGCAAGGAATTGCTCAGGCAAGCCATATTTGCAGAAAGTAGTCTATATTCATGAGAGGAACAGTTGGCAGGGACTGAGGAAAGAGGAGAGTTCTTGAGAAGAACCCAACAGGTGCCCCTGTTTCCTGACTCTGCAGAAGTCAAGTCTGAAAGCACTGCAAAATGGAAAAAAGAATCCCCATTAGAAAAACTGATTGGCCTAGAACGTAGCCCCATTTCCTTCCCCTACCTGAACTTCCAGCAAACAGCAAGTCCAGGAAAAACTCTTACTCAAATGAGGAATGATTCCAAAGTCATCAAACGCACAAGTGCACACGGCTTTTGAGCTAGCAGTTCCCCGTCTAGGAATGTATATAGTCACGCATGTACAAAATGATGGACACATAGAGGTATTCAATGACGCACTGCTGGTGAAAGCAAAGATTGGGAGCTTTCCACATGGCTCCTGAAATCCTGCAATGTCCCTATGGCAAACTTTTTGGTAGACACAAATGAATAAATATATGAAGAGAACTTGGACACCACTTTGTGTAGCAGTACACAAACATTAGGTGAGAAAAAAAGCAAGGTTGCAGGAGAGTGAGGATAATCTGCTACCATTTGTATACAAAAAGGAGAACAAATGGTAAGTAAGTACGTGATCAAGTGTATTCACATAAACTCTTTCTGGAAAGATAAACGAGAAGCTGGGAACCCTGATTACCTCTGGGAAAGGGAAGGGGCAGCGGGTGGCTTGGGGGAAGGAATTGGGAGAGAGACAGCTGTATATCCTTTCAGAACTTTAGAAAATTGTACTATGTGGATGTTATTAACTTTTCAAAAAATAAAACTTTTAAAACACATTTTGTTCCATTACTGTTATAATGAAGTCAGATTCTAGATGCAGGATTTCATAACCTTTAATATAGATATGCTCAATGTGGAGTTTAATTTTTTTTAGAGTCAATAAATTGAATCATCAATCAGACAAAACAGATACCCAGTCAGTTCCAGAGGCACACTGGCATTATTGTCTTGAGGGTGCCAAATAAAGTGATTCTCAGGTCAGCTGGGACCTGCATTCTGCCGATCTGAAATTATTGAAACTGGAACACGTTTCTTGCTTAGTGTGCACAGTGCCATCTGGGAAAATACCCTGAACTAAATCCTGCCGATGCCCTTCCACATCTTAAAATGATTTAAATGACTTCATTCGTGCGTGTGTGCGCATTCTTTTTACAAACGCTGTAAAGCATAAATCCAGAGAGGTTGGGTAACTTGCCCCACAAGTCACACTTCCACTGGGCATATTTTCCAAGGGGAGAGACAGATTGAGAGCCGTGGTCTTAATGGACACAGCCAAAGACCACGTAACAGCACTTTTGCTCCAGAATGAAAGGTCCCACTGTGTGAATGACCATACATGTGGCCCTCACCCTACTGTAGGTTTCCACTGAGACCATCATCTTGGTGGTGGAACTGAGCAAATCAAGCTGTGGAAACCCTGGGCATGCTCAGTGTTTTGATGTAACAGAACAGGTGGGTGAGTCAGACCTGAGACCCTGCCTGTGCCCTCCCAGGCCTTGTTTTTGCCTCTAAATTATCCTGCAGGAAAATGAGCAGTGGGCTCATTTTCTATGAACTACAAAAGTCAGACATGCCAAATTTAGTGTCCTTCCAGGGAGAAGGAAGCTTCAGGAAGGAATGTGGGCTGGCTTCCTTGCTCCTGGTGCAGTCTGCTGAGGGGACACCTGAGGGCACTAGGAATGAAACATCTCATCTTCCTGCTGATAGAGAATATTCCTGGGGTTTCAGGCCCATCAGAGGTCATCCTGGGATGGGGTGGGGGTCAGATCTTGCCATTTCAGTTTGATCTTGGACTCCTGCTTCCTGGGACCCAGAAGTCAATCTGATGGGCTGTGTGGGTAAGTGGAGGTGAGTGAGGCAGGGACCCAGAGGGGAAGGGGTGGGGATGAATAGCAGGATGTGGATAAATGGACTGGAATTGCGAGAGAGAGACTAGGGTGATGAAGGGTGAGTGTGGGAATAGGGGTATGAGAGGCAGAGTTGGGGTGAATGGGGAAGAGTAGGGAGAAATGGAAGTATCTGGTAGAGTGAATTACTGGCGAAGAAACAGTTGAGTGTAAGTAAATCTGAGCAGTGCCGGGGAGAGTGGGAGTGAATAGTTTAAGCAGACAGAGTGGATGTTGGAAATGTGGACAGAGTGAAGTAAGCTGGGAGTGAGATGAGGCACGGGGGGAGTGACAGTGGTGAATGGGGCAGAGTAAAGAGGCGTGTGACCATGCGGCAGAGCGTTAATAAGGGCAAAGGAAGACTGGGCAGGCGCCATGGGGCAGACCGTGAGAACTGGCGAGTGCCCTGGGCTCTGTCACGAGTAAGGGGTATCTGTGGAGCTGGGCTGTAGGGTCTCGAAGTCTTAGTGATGCAGCATCTCGTGGTGGTGGTGATGAGGAGTTGCTGAGGACCAAGTGAGTGGAGGAGGTGGCCTCAAAGAGGAGCTGCCCCAGGCCCCCATGGTGACCACAGGTATGTGGGATGGGAACAGCTTGTGACCAGGACACAGTGCTCAGTGAACATCCCCTCCGTTTTAACAACATGCAGGGAGGGCAAGGCCCCCCTGATCAACCTCCCTCAAATCATCTCTGTTGTGCCCTTAGACCAGCCCTCAGTCCTGCCCCCTTCCATTATTTATGCCAGTTATTAAATGTGTCTTATTGCTTTAATAAACCTCTAAAATGATATTCATTATAATTCCTCTTCAACTTGTTCCCTAGGATCCTCAAGACTACTCTGGGATCCCTAAGATCAGCCCTGTGATCCTTGATTGGCCCTATAACCACCCACGTCACTACTGTGCCCCTAATATTTAACCAGTTATTTCATATTGTTGTCTTATTTCTTTAGGAAAAATCTCCAAACTGAATTATGATCCCTCTCACTTCATCCTTTGGGACTTATTAATATGGAAAACTTGCTTGATACAATGATGGACCTCAATATCGTAAAAGGCAACCCATCCTCAGAGATCTCAGAATTTAAAGGCTTAGAGACCAAAATCAAATGCTCAGGTCATGTGGATTATTAGATCAATTTAAGATACAAAAATTTCTATATTAAAAAAAAAACACCAAGAAAGAAAGGGAAAGAGATGGGGTAAGTTAACACACTTAGGATAGGGTGCAAACAGGCAGAAGGACCACATTTCTTCAGTATTTTATGTAATGTTCATACACCATGTGCCTGTCTTCCTGTTTTGTCAGCCTCATTGGTTAGGACTAGAGTTGAGGTTTGAACAAGGGACCCAATTAGACTTGTGCCCAGGGCCAAAGACATATTTCATTTGCCTCAACTGTAGCTCACCAATCAGCCTGCAGTCATGGCTTTGATGTTCAGTGGAACCATATGGAGTGGCACTAATTGGTGGCTGATTTCAGTAAAACGTAGCTGTCAGCTCAGGTGGTAATATACGTTATGACTTGGTGTTCACCTTCCTATCTTTCTGTAACTCGTTTGTTCCATCATATATTCCATTCATTCTCTTTAGTGTATCCTACTAGCTGATCAGTTGCTAACTATAATTTAACACATTTTATGGATTCTGCCTGTGTCTAAAAAACTACTTGCTTATTCATCATCTGTACTTCATACATCTTCTGAGTTCTGCTCAGGTCTCAAGCTTCTAGCTTACTATCTATGTGTAACACTTCTTAGGAGCTTCCTCCATCCCATTTGTTTCCCTGTCCTTTAGAAGTGAAGCAACAAAGAAAATCAAGTTTTTTGAAAAGATTAATAGAAGTGAGAAAGCCTAGACTGATCAAGAGAACAAAGGGAAAACATAAATGTTCAAATCAGGAATGATGTAGTGGATATCACTACAGATTTTAGAAACAAAGGAATTATGAAAAAACTAGGCCAGTAAAGTTGATAACTTAGTTGATGTAATTAATAAGGGAAAAATATAATGATCTCTATAGATGTAGAAAAAGGATCTCATAAAATTCAATACACTTTCATAATATGAATTCTTAGCAAACTAGGAATAGAAGAGGACTTCCTTGGTCTGATAAAAGGGTGTGTTAAAAAAAAAGCAGCAAAGACTTAATGATGACATGGTAAAAATGTTCCTCCTGAGATTAGGAATCAGTGCTCTGCCCACTTCTGAATTCTTCAACACTGTACTGGAGGCCTTGGTCAGTGAAATAAAGGAAGACAAAGAAAAACAGTAATGACTGGAAAGAAATAAATAAAACTCTCAATGTCTGCAGATGACGTGTATACACAGAAAATCCAAAATTTCTCTATAGATAAATTATTACAATAAGTGAATTTAGCAGAATTGCTAAATATAAGCTCAAATTACAGGAATTGGTTTTCTATGTGCCGACAACAACCAACTAGGAAACAAAGACACCATAGCTTCAATTTTGGGGATCAGAAACAACTGAGGGGGTCATATAATGGAGGTACTTGAAAGGAGGAGTTTACATCTGGGTGGGGTGGGGTCTGACTGTCAAACACAGGGAACAAACACCATGAGACTTCTCACAAAGATGAGAGAAGCAGAAGAAACGAAAGTCACAAAGTTAAGGACAGATGTCTAAGTGTCTGGTTGCAGAAGGAAAGGAGGGAAGGGGAAAATGACCTAGAAAGGCTTGTTCCAGCTGAAAGAGGCAGGGATCAGAGCCTGAGGACACTGCAGGCAGGCAGGCAGGGTTCTTTCTCAAAGCCAAGCAAAGCATTGGGGAGACACGTGGAGAGGTTTAATCTGAGGAGCTCACACGTGTCCTGTGACAGCCAAGAGCCCTACCTCATCTCTTTTAGGGAAGATCATGGCATGTCGACGGCACATCAAGGGAACCTCTTCCTCACCAGCTGGAATCTTCCATCCACCATCCCCCATCTTTCTAGTGCTCACTCACCTTTATGACTTCAGATTTTTCTCTCTGCTAACCAATGTTCTCTTCTTTCCCAAACACAAAGATTAGGTCTGGTTTGGTAACTTGATACCCTGGTAAGAGGACATGATTCAGGATTTAAGGCACCTGCTTGGCCCTCATGCCATACACAAAAATAAACTCAAAATGCCTTAAAGATTTAAACCTAAGACAGGACACCATAAATCGCCTAGAAGAGAACACAGGCAAAAACATTCTCTTACATAAATCAAAGCAATGTTTTCCTAGGGCAGTCTACCAAGGCAATAGAAATAAAAGCAAAAATAAACAAATGGGACCTAATTAGACTCGAAAGCTTACACAGCAAAGGAAACCATAAGCAAAACGAAAAGACAACTTATGGGCTGGAAGGAAATGTTTGCAAATGACGCGACTGACAGGGGCTTAACTTCCAGAATATACAAACAGCTCATACAACAAAAAAACAAATAACCCAATCCAAAAGTTGGCAGAAGACCTAAACAGACCTTTCTCTAATGCAGACAGACAGAAGGCACCTGCTTGGGGGCCTCTGAAGACTGAGGAAAGGGCAGCTTCAGTGACTACACAACAAAGCTGCTCAATTATATCCCAGCGAAGTCTGGCCATTTCCCTGGGAAGGTAAGAGAACAATTTCAGCACTTCAGAGGTAAGACGTTCCCATTTATCTTTTCCTCATCACCCAAAGGGATAATGGTTCACAGACTGGCCCCTGTACACAGAGGACGAGGAAAGATGGAAGAAAGAGGGAGACCACTCCAGATTGGTAGGTGGCAGTTTTAATAAACAAGGGAACTTACACTTGAGGCTTGTCTCGGGCAGCTGCAAGACAGCAGATCTCCATACCTGCCAGCCAGAACCTTGAAAGTTTCTATAGAGGACTTAATGGGGTCCAGCCACATATATCAATCAGATGGTCTCAGTAGCACACTACTATCTCAAGGCTGTGTCCTTGAAAATGGCTCCAGCTTTGGGATCAGTGAGAAGAACGTACATTCCAAGAACAGGGGAGGGGGTGAGGAGCCTCCAATTGCCCAGGTCTAGCTCCTAGGTCTACTGGAGGTCACGTCCTCTCAATGACCTCCTCCAGCCCTCCACCCTTTGTGACTGGCTCTTCCCATCTTATGTGTCCCCTTCTTCCATGATGTGCCCTGAATGGTCAGCAAGGGGTTTCACTAGCATGGAGGTGGCTCATCTGGTGGCTGTCTGGCTGCACTGGAGGCAGATGCCACAGCAACCATATAGGCACATGCAAGAGAAAACAGATTAAGATAATAATTCCCAAAATAAGTAACAATTTTTTCCAGCAAGTGCCTCATCATCCAAACAACTGATTTAATTCCCCTAGGCTAGGGGTCCAATCACTCAGGGCATTCATTCATTTGTGGCCCCATGAGATTTAATAAAGATGACACATCAGGAAACTCATCAGGTATGAACACACAACATTGTTTGGATAATGTTAATCATGTCCGAGGCCATCACATTTTGGAGGACAGCTTTTCTCATTAGAGACATTTCAGTGTTCAGTAAAGGCAGGTTTTGAGACTATCTTATAAGGCTTGCTGGGTGAATTTAGTGAGGACTTCTATGTATGCTATAACGTCCCCAGACCAATGGAGGGAAGAAAGATGGCAGCCAAATCATCCTATAAGTGGAAAACAGAACGTGCCCATCTGGCTTTGAGGAGAAAGAGGCTGACAGTTTTAGGAACCTGACCTGGTTATGCATACATGTTGGCCAGAAAGGTGGCACTGTCAGGCATGAAAAGATGGACTCGGGGCAGGATATGCCAGAGCAGGGCTCCTTTTTTCCCTCCTCTTTCAATGGTGCCTGTTCCACTCCAGTTACAGCACATTGCAACAGGTGCGGCTTACAGCAGGACAATGGGGTCCCAGCAGAGACTGAGCAGTTACCCCTTACCCAGGGGTGCAAAGGAACTCTTCCATCCCGGTGGGACATCCCACTGCAAATTCCAGTAGATAACGCCTTTCCCAGATGTGACGAGGCTTGGTCTTCTCAGCAGTGCAGCATGTTGATCCACAGTTGGAGTCGGGGCAATGGCTGTCTCTCTTGACTTCCATACCTATACGGTTTTGGGTGTCTGCAAGCCACACCTGGTGGGTGTCCCCAGTATGACAAATGGGGCAACTGGCCCTGCTGGTTGATCAGTCAAATCGATTAAAGCGTGGGACAGCACTTCAGTCCACCCAGCCAAAGTGGTTTTACCTGTTTGCAAGTCAATCTGCCGCTTTAATATGCCCGTCTTCCTTCCTATCAACCTTGCTGTTTGTGAGCTGTCAACGGGATAGAGCCTCCGTTCAGTATCATGATTTTTGCCCAATCTCGCACATCATGACCTTTGAAATGAGACCCCTGATCACTGTCTAATCAATGAGGGTATCTGTACGTGGTACTCAGCTCCTCTAATCCCTAACGGTGGCAGCCTGGTTTATGCGGCAACAGGGGAAAGCTTGGCTTAGGCCAGATGCAGTGTCCACACAAACCAAGGCATTTTTAGAACTCTCGCTCAGAGGGAGGGGTCCGGTATTATCAATCTGCCAATCTCTCATCAGTTGGGAACGCCAGTGGATGGCCCCAGTCTCTGTGGGCAGCTGCCTTGGGCGCTGTGTAGAACACACAGGACATTCTGTTCCTGCACTAACCGAGCCATTGCATTTCAAGGGCAACCTAGCATCTTTGGCAATAAACCATCCCACCTGGGTGCTACAGTAGCTGCTTTTCCTCTGCACCCAATCTGTTGTGTCTACTAAAGTGTCAGTTACTAGGTCATGCACCTGAGCTGGGGCATCAGCTTCCTGATACCAGGGGGTGTCAGTGCCTCATGAACTGGGGCGTGCAAGACAGTGAGGACTGGCTCAGCCTCTTGCAGGTGAATCCAAATGTCTTTTCACATATCCTGACCCCACGAGGGCTTATTCATGATCATCCGCCTCTCAGCTTTCCATTGGCCAAGCCACAGGGGTTAAGCCCTTTAGAACAGCCCAACTGTTGGTGCAAAGGGTTAATAGCCAGGGCTCATGAGTGATCACTGGACTGCTCTGAGTTCAGCCCACTGCCTGCTGTGGTTTGTTCCTGGTTCCAGGCATCTGTATACCCAGCATCAGTGGGGATTTCCCCCACTCCCACTCTATAAGCTGCAGGGATCACCGTAGGAATCGGGATGGGGCATCCGGAAGATCTACATACTCTACAGGGCCTAGTAGCACCTGCATTTCTAAAGAGAGTGGGCTGGCGGACAGGGTGCTCCTTTGCTGCAAACGGGCATGTCACTAAGTCAAAGTGAGGGGTCTGAGTCATGGCAGAGGTGGGTCAATGGAACATACTCTCAATCCACCCCTGGGCAGGAAGGGATGTTCTATCATGATGCTGTTGCTTTGTGAGAGGCTCTGCCTGGAGAAGCGCTGTGGTCACTGCTAGGAGCTGCTGCTCTGGGGTGTATCAGGTTTCTGCCCCCTTTCAGAGCTGGGAACGAAATCCTAAGGGTTCTCTCCCCTGTTTTCTCTGCCATAGTGCCCCACCCATAGCTTCCAGAGTACCAGACACATGAACTCAAATGGCAGCCCTGTTTGGGAGATGCCCAGAGTTGTCATCTCCTTCGTAAGTATTTCTGCCTTCTCAAAGGCAGCCTGCTGCTCTGATCCCCAGTCCCACATGCGCCCTTTCTTTACCAAGTGGTATGGTAAAGGTAGGGAACGAAAGTCCTCCAAAACCTCACAGTCCCTACAGAGACTTGCACTGCTCTCACCTTCTTAGGGGTTAGACAGACCTGCACCTTATCAATCAAAGCTTCTGGGACAATGCACATCTTACCTGCCCAAATGACTTCCCAAAACTTTGTGGCAGTGCTTGGGCCTTGAATTTTCCGTGGGTTCACTGCCCATCCTCTCCCTTACAGATCTTACAGCAAAGTCTGCAGACAGTCCTGCAGCAGAAGCAACTGTTCATATGTTAGCATTATTGCATCCACGTGATGGGCACGTTGTACTGATGTGGGGAAAGAGAACAGGGACAGGTCTCAAGCTACCATCCCATGACATATTGTAGGGCTGTGAAGGTAGTCCTGGGGAAGCATTCGAAACGTCTATTGTTGCTCCTCCCATGTGATAGCAAATTGATCTTAGTTATCAGAAATCTGTACCTGTCAGTCTTTTCCATGAATCTACTTGAAGATGAAAGGACTTTTGCAGGAACATTTTTGCAAAAGCATCAGAGTGAAATAGTAACTGTTTCACTTCATAAATCACAAAACATTTAAAAGTGGCCATGGTTAAAGATCTGATGAGAGTTGATTATAATGGAATTGACAAGGAAATTTGGTTACTTCTGTGACATCCTTTTAAAAATAATAACTAGAATTATGACCGATAACATTATACCAGGACATTATCAGAATTTTAGGAATTTCATACAATTTCTGGAACATTTATATTAATAACATATTTATAGAAATATAACTTAAGAAAGTTTAATATCACTTCTTATTTGACAATGCTTCCCATATAATTTAACATAGTAAGTAAATCTAATTAGTTAAATACCTCTCTTTTACAAGGAGAGAGAACATATCTTTTGAGATGTTCCAGGGGCCCTCTGGAAAAATCCCAAAGTTGCTTTGAGGTTAAAAAGACTTTACTTAGAATTTGATTCTTGGGAAATTTATACAAAATATCGAAAGGTTTAAAAACAATTTAAGTAGAATTACAGATCACTGTGAAATGATACTTATTCATTTAACCAAAGTAACAACTAAAGACTTCAAAGGCAAATACAGAAAATTATGTAGTTGTTTAAAAAAAACTCAAAACACTTAGCTCTTTAAGAAGAGACGATTCAGTTTTCTTAAGTAATCACAGACCAGAAAAACACAACATAAAGCACAGGAAGTTATTTTGATAAAACCCAGAATCTTTGTTTTCTAGGCAGATTCCTTAAAAGGTGGGGAAAAACCATTCAGTCTTAACAAGAACAGACCAATACTCCAAGACAAAGTTATCCTAGCAGATTAAAGAAAGTTAAGTTTTAGTTTTATATAAATACACAATTGATATTAAAGCTTATTTTCTTTCAAGCTAATTAAATAGAGCTCATTTATCACCTCACCCCAGCTGGAATGGCCATCATTCAAAAGTCTACAAATGATAAATGCCGGAGAGGGTGTGGAGAAAAGGAATCTAAAAAAAAAAATGACAAATGAACTTATTTACAAAACAGATACAGACTCACAGACATAGAAAACGAAGTTATGGTTACCAGGGTGGGAAGGGGGTGGGAAGGGATAAATTGGGAGTTCGAGATTTGCAGATACTAATATATATAAAATAGATAAACAACAAGTTAATACTATATAGCACAGGGAACCATATTCAATATCTCATAGTAACTTACGGTGAAGAAGAATGAGAACGAATGTATGTATGTTCCTATGTGACTGAAGTATTGTGCTGTACACCAGAAACTGACACATTGTAAACTGACTGTACTTCAATAAAAATATTAAAAAAATAAAATCACAATCAAGATACCATTTTATATGCTACAATTAAAATGACTGACCATAGCAAATGTTGTGAAGGATATAGAGCAACTGGAACTCTCATAAGTGATGGTGGGCATGTAAAATGGTGCAGCCACAATTTGCCATTTTCTCAAAAAATTAAACATACACTTATCATACTATCAAGCAAGTCCACTCCTACCCATTTGCCCAAGAGAAATGAAAACACATATCCACACAAAGACATTTATGTGACAGTTCATAGCAGCATTACTCATAATAGCCAAAATTGGAAACATTCCAAATGTCCATCAACTGGTGCACGAGTAATATGGTATATTCATACAATGAAATATTACTTACTCAGCAACAAAAAGGAAAGAACTACTTATGTAACACCACAAATGAACCTCAAAAATACTTTTCTAGGTGAAAGAAGCCAGACTCAAGAGTATACATACTGTTGACCCTTGAAAAATGTGGAGGTTAGGGGGTTAGGGGCATCTGAGCATAACATATAGTTAGCCCTCTGTATCCACAGTTCCTCATTCCCCTTCGTTCTGCACATAGGATTCAATCAACTGTGGATCATGTAGTACTGCAGTATTTACTATTGAAAAAACTCTATATAAATGGACATGCACAGTTCAACCATGTTTTCTTCAAGGATCAACTGTGTGTGTGTGTGTATGTGTATATGTATAATATGATGCAGTACGATTCCATTTACATGAAACTCCTAGAAGAGGTAACTCTATAGCAACGGAAAGCAAATAGATCAGTGGGAGCCTGCGTCTGGGAACACCATGAAAACTACAAACCAGCATGCGGCAACTACTTGGGGTGATGGAAGTGTTCTAAACTGATTCGTGATGATAGCTGCATAAATTCATCAATCATCATTCAACTGTATGTACACATATAACAAGTGAATTGTATGGTATGTGAATTGTAACTTCAATAAGGCTTAACATTTTTCTTTGATTTTCAAAGCAGCACTCTGGTCATACAAGTGAATGCTTTCATTCTAAAGAGATTCACACTGAAGTTTCATTCACACTGAAGGGTCAATGACTGCAACTTGACTCTCAAATAGTTAAAGAAAACAATCTAGAGATTGAGAGAGAAAAATAAAGCAACCTGGGGCAAAAAGCCAGAAACTGGTGAGTGTGGATAAAGATTATATCAGATTTTTCTGTAGTATTCTTGTAATTTTTTGTACGTGTGAAGTAATTCTTTAGAAAGTTAAAGAAATTCATTGAAAATCATGTATCTGCATGAATGCTTTAAAAAATTTTTTTATTTTATTGAGTTAAAGTCAGTTTACAATGTTGTGTCAATTTCCGGTGCAGAGCACAATTTTTCAGTCATACATGAATGTACATATATGCATGAATGCTTTTTGTAACCTGCGATTTCTCTGTGAAATCAGGGAATTCAGGACGTCATTCTGTGCTCAGTCTCTGCTTCGCCCAGTGTTACTGCTGGGACCTGAAGAGGGAGAGCAGGCAAAGGTAGATCTTAAAAAGCTGCTTTGATCAAACAGTGTACGAAACCTGCTGCAATCCCCACATGGGGAATGGAACCTGGGTAGCGTAGGTGAAAAAAACAGGAAGCCTGTTTTGCTAGATCAGAGTCCACAGACTATATATGGTCTTTGAGCCAAACCCAGTCCGCCATTTGTTTTTCTATGGCCTGTGAGCTAAGAATGCTTTCCCATTTTTAAATGATTGGAAAAGATACCAAAAGAAGAGTTTTTGATATGTGACAACTTGGTGAAACTCAAACTTTAGTGCCCATAAATAAAGTCTGATTAGAACACAGCCAGGCCCATTTTTTAACAAACTGTCCCTGGCTGCTTTCCCACTACAACAGCAGAGTGGAGTAGCTGGGACAGAGACCATACGTGGCACATAAAGCCTAAAATAGTTACTACCTAGCCATTCAAAGAAAAAGCTTGCTGACTCCTATACCAGACCACATAAAACACAGTTTCTTTAGGTCAGTAGTTCTCAGCTGGGAACAATTTTGTCCCTCAGGGGCCATTTGGAGATATGATGGCTAACATCCTATAACGCACAGGTCAGCCCCTGCAACAAAGAATGATCCAGTCCCAGGTGTCAATAGTGCTGGTGTTAGAAACCCTGGTCCAAAAGACTCAGGGCCGGCTACCTTGGCTTCACCCTGAGTAAGCTAAATATTTCACTTCTGCCCTTGACTCCACCTGTCTGTCCAGCCTCCACATCCCTACCCCACATGCTACCACAGCCTGCCTCCCTGCAAGACATGGTCCCAGTAGGCCCTGCATGCAGCCCTCCCAGTTCCCCATCAGCTTCCTGACCTCCCGTCCTTGGGGCCATGCTCTACAGTCCTCTGTGATCTCATCTAATTCCATACAGCACCGCCCTCCCATCTCTCCACTGGTCAGGCTGGTTCTGCTCACGCCCACCCACCCCTCCCCTAGCTACCTGGCTGGCCAGCCCCCCTGCTTCTCCGTAATTCTCCAGGCCCAGCCCAGGAGGGTCTCAGTGGCAAGTCCATTCCCAAGGCTGGGCTGGGCAGAAGCTGCACTTCACACCATACTCACTGACCCCCTCCAAAGTTTTGTCCTGGGGGGCCTTGTGTGCTTGGGGCAGAGCCATCTGAGTCCGGGTAGGGTATCTGGGGATCTGTCCACTTCTGTCACTGCCCTCCATCCAGAACACCGAGGCAGAAAGTTCATTGTGGGTTGGGTCCTTGGGAGAGAGGGTGCTGCACAGTGGCCTTGCTGTTAGGTCTGGCTTTGGGACTAGAGTCACCCACATGAATCCCACCTCAGATGCTTGGGACATGTAGAGACTTGGACACCTTATCCCTAGGCCTCTCCATGACTCGATGCCCCAATTTGTGACAAGGTCAGAGCAATCACAACCACTGTGTGGGATGGTTTTGAGGATGACAGACACCAGAAGTGATTTTTCCTAGAATATGGTAGTAAGAAGGGAGTCCAGAACGAGGCTGTGACTATCCCGAGGGGCTGGGAGGGTATCTAAGGAGAGAATGGGGCATCCTGCTTGGTGGAGATGGGGTTAGGCATGTGATTACAGAAATAATAGTAATGCTAATGATAGCTTCCACTCATGCAGCCTTTTCTGTCCCAAACACTGTGCTTCCAGGTCTTTCCAACAACAAGCTTGTTTAATCCTCCCCAATGCCCTGTGAGGTAAGTATCTCCGTTTTACAGGTCAAATGTTTTAGTCACTGGAGACATCTCCCAGCTTTCAGAACCTGAGAAGTTAAAGGTCTGAGAACACACCAACCTGAAATATTCCAGTGCACAGCAAGGCCACCCTCACCCGGGTGACCAGACAGCTGTTGTCCAGCCTCAGGTGCCTGGGCAAGGTCCAGCTTCTGCCAGCTGGGGTGACAGCCACAGCTAAATCTTCAGAAGTCACAGCCCATAACCTCATGTCCCTGTCCACTCCAAAGTGACCACCACTGGGTGACGTGGAATACACAGGTGGGGACTTCTCATGCCTTTCCTTTCACAGTCATACTGCTCTGTGGCGAGTTACGTAGGATTCCTACCCTCAACCGAGTCTGTGTTACACCTTGGGGGGAAAGAAAAATCCAAGAGGGCATGATGCTTCCTGATATGAAGCACTGAGAAGGACACAAGCATCGCTTCCGTGACACTTCTGCCAGAGGTGCAGAATCTGGATCCACTCATGAGAGAACACCAGACACACCTCAACTGAGGACGTTCTAAAAGCCCGTAACCTTCAAAAGCATCGAGGTCATGAAAATCAAGTGTGTTAAGTCAGCTCAGGCTACCATGACAAAGCACCATTTCCCTCACAGGTCCCAAGGCCAGAAGCCTAAGATCAAGATGTCAGCAGGGTTGGTTTCATGCTGAAGCCTCTCTCTCTGGCTTGTAGACGGCCACCTTCTTCCTGGGCCTCCACGGGGTCTTTCCTCTATGTGTGCACATGTCTGTGTCCAAATTTCATCTTCTCATAAGGATACCAGTTGTACTGAATTAGGGCCTGCCCATTTGACCTCATTTAATCTTAAAAAAATTTTTTTACAGAGATTCTCACTTTATTTTAAAAAATTATAAATTTCTTTTTCTTTTTTTCTTTTTTTTTTAAATTGGCATATAGTCAGGTACAATGTGTCAGTTTCTGATGTACAGCATCATGTCCCAGTCATGCATATACGTACATATTGACCTCATTTAATCTTAATTATCTCTTTAAAGGCATCATCTCCAAATAAGGTAGGTCACTTCTGAGGTACTGGGGGTTAGGACTTCAACATGTGAATTTTGAAGGGATGCAATTCAGCCCATGACATCAAGGAAAGATTTGAAGAACCGTTCCAGATTAAAGGGATCCAAAGAGACATGACAACTAATTCAATGTGTGATCCTAGATTGGATCTGGGACCAGAATTGATGAAAACAAATGAGGCTATACTGTGGTATCAATGTCAAATTTCCTGATTTTAATAACTACTACACTGTATTGGACTGAATGTTTGTGTCCTTCACCGATTTCATATGTTGAAGCTCCAGCCCCTCAGTATGGCTGTATTTAGAGATGGGGCCTCTGAGGAAGTAATTAAGGTTAAGCAAGGTCATAAGGGTGGGGCCCTGATCTGAGAGGATCAGTGTTCTTATAAGAAGAGACATCGGAGAGCACTTTTGTACTCTTGTTCTCTATGGGCATCCACCCGGAAAAGGGCATGTGGGGACACAATGAGAAAGCAGCCAACTGCAAGCCAGGATCATCTTAGCTGGCCCTCCATCATGCAAGCACAGCTCACACTGTCACATCTCCTCATCCTTGTCCATGTCACTCCTCCCTCCTGGAATTTCTCCTGGTCTCTGAAGTTAGTCTACCAAGTCCTTCCCATTCTTTAAGAACCTGCTCAAAATAACATGGCCTGAACTCCACGATACTAGGCTCATCCCTGTCTGTCCTGTGCTAGTCATATCCTGCTTGAAATCATTGGTACTTTTTTTACCTTGTCTCCCCTGAGAGACCTGAGGACTGAGACCATGATGGATCTCCTTCAGAGCCCTGGCCAATGGCTTGCCTATGATTCTTTTTAAAGAGATTTTTCCTTCCAGCTTTTTTGAGATATAATTGACCTACAGCACTATAAACTTTTTTGGAGGTGGGTAATTAGGTTGTATGTATGTGTGTATTTGATGAAGGTACTGGGGATTGAGCCCAGGACCTCATGCTTGCTAGGCACATGCTATGCCACTGAGCTCTACCCTGCCCCTGCTGCCTATGATTCTTAAACAACTTGGAACAAGAACATCCAATGTCTACCACTCAATCACTAGGTGCAGATGCAGTGCCGTAGAAGTTACATACCTCCTGTCATTGAATCCTCACAGCTCACCTGTGAGGTTGGCAGATGAAATCAGGAATGGCCACTGGGTCTGGGAAAGAGCTACAGAGCAGGATGGGGGAAGGAGCAAGGTCGGACCCAGGGGACCTACCTCCTTGATCTTAACCACCATCCTACCCACCATAGACTGATAACCTCTGCTGCAGTGACTCTGCCCAGAGCACAGGAAGGATCTGAACTGTGGGCAGAGGCTCTTCTGGGTCCCACTGGCCATGTTAACCACATTGGCACTAAGAATGGCGGGCTCTTTTAAGCTGAAGCTTCAGTGACTCTTACTTGGTGGAGCAGCCTTATGTAGGTAGGAATTTCCATTTGCCAACTGAGAACCAGACTGGCCCTGATGAATGAGAGCAGAACTGGGCAGGGATGCTGTCACTCTTGGCCTTGGCCCACATCAGGATGTCAGAGGCACGTCAGGGAGAAAAGGCATTGGAAGAGTCCAACCCAGTGACAGGGGCCTTGGAGCTCACTGTTTGGGACACAGGTCTAGACAAAGCGGGAGACAGAACAGGTGCCGTACAGATGAAGCGTTACTAGTTGTGTACTTTGAACAGTTCTAATGTATAGGTAAAAAAATCTTGCCCTTTCCACATGTCTCTGTATGACTGGGGTAGACGTTGTTGGGTCCCTTTATGCACCAGTGCACTGCCCCCCGCCACCTATGGTCAGAGTTATCTGCTAAGGGTTCACACTGTCCTTCCTCCAGAGAATTGCCTTGGTCAACAGGAGTCACTTTGCGCCAAATGTCCTCCCCTCACATCCCTCATTCCCAGGGGTTGGGGGAATTCAGAGTCAATTACTAACAGTGGGTACCCAAGGCCCAGGCCAACTGCCTGAAGTCAGATCAACTCTATGGCGTCTTCCATGCTCCCAAGCTCCCTGTGAGATCAGGCCAAGGCCACACTTTACTGAAACCACATACTTGCTAGGCTTCTTCCTGTTTCCCTCACCCCTCCACACATTCCCCTAAGAGCTCTCCCTCATCAAATCACCTGAACCCGAATTTCTATCTCAGGTCCTGCTGCGGTGAACCAGCCAAAAGCAGTAAGCAACCAACCGTGGTATGCCTTTCACCTCTTCAAGTGTGTGTGTGTGTGTGTGTGTGTGTGTGTGTGTGTGTGTGTGTGTGTGTGTGGTGTGTGTGTGTGTGTGTGTGTGTGTGTGTGTGTGTGTGTGTGTGTGTGTGTGTGTGTGTGTGTAGGTGTATGTATGCATATGTGTGAATAAAACAGGGCTCATGTTCATAGGTTTCTCGAAAGCTTGACTTCACGCCTACTTCCCTGCCACCTGTTCCCTCTGCTCCAGCCATGCAGCCCTGGAATCAGCAGATAAACTCTCACCCCAGGGCCTTTGCACCTGCTGTCTCCCCACCTTGAAATGATTTTCCTCCAGGTATCTGCATGGCTCATTGCCTCACCTCCCTCAAGCGTTTGCTCAAACGTCTCTTTCTGGTGAGACCTCACTATTTACAATGACACCCCCTCACATATCTACTCTCTCCTCCTTCCCTGCGATACAGTTCTCCATAGTGATAACCACCATCTAATATACTATATATTCCTTTATGTTGTTTATTGTGTGTCTCTTTCTACTCCCTCCTGCCCCCAGTAGAAAATAAAGTCTGTGAGAGTAGGGGGTTTTGTCTGCTTTGTTTATGGCTGTCTCCCAGCACCTAGAATAGTCTCTGGCACATAACAAGCACTCAAGAAATAATTTTTGACTACACCAAGTTTCCTCTCACAAACCAAGGCCATCTCTCTCTGTGTATCCGGTACTGACGGCATGCCCTTGCTTTTGGCCTCTGTTAAGCCTATGCTACACTAGAAACATTTGGGGTATAAAAATTGTAAGTAAAATAAGTAACTTCTCCATACATTCGACCCAAGTAACCACTGCCCTTTAGAGCAAACAGAAGAAAATGCGAAATATCTACTTGTAAAGAGGAGTTGATTTCTTTTTGTTGTCTGTGAAGGAATTTGCCTCTTTTAATAAATCACACCCCAGGGCCTTCAGGGTGTCCTGAAATTGGGAAGAATTCCCTGGTGAGGTGGGGCGGTTGAACAAGTGGTACTGACTCAGTCTCCTGAAAGTTACCTTCCCTTTGTGGCGCTCTCTATGCCACAACTGTGATGTTGAAAGCAGTTTTTGGAATGAAGGATGGACGAATCCAGCTCACTTTGCGATTGCCCCCATTCCCACGGGCATGCACATCTCACAGGCAAACAGAACTCATAGGGCGGCCATTCCCAGGCCAGGCAGGAACTCTGTGAAAACTCTTTGGTTCACAGAGCAGAGTGGCTGGTGATGGGGCACACTGAGTTCACTGAGAACATTGTCATCCTGGACAATGAGGATATTTATATAGTGTGAGTGTGTTCATGTGAGCAGAGGGAAAGATGTAGGAGAGAGACACCAACTGCCCCAGGAGCCAGCTCCTGAGAGGCAGCAGAGAGGACAGAAACGACAGGACTGTGGCTCTTTTTCTCCAGGCACCTTGGTGTTAGTCCACCTCTGTTGACTGTGTTCATATCTCCTCTCTGCAGATGACCTTGAACCAGATTCTCCAGCTTGAAAGACTCAAGGGAATGTGAAATGCAGCATCACTGGAGCCTGAGCTCATTATCTTTGGTGTCATCACCTTCTCAAGACCTGCCCGCCCCCACTCTGCTTAGCCTTGAACTGCCCCTTCCCTTTCCCCACCTCACCTGTCAATCAGTGGCCAGGCCCATTCACTCTGCCAGCACTCCTGCCCTCCACTCCATCCTCACACCTACGACTTCTGCTTCCATGCCCCTGTCTGCCCTCCACACGATGCAGCTCCAGACTCCCTCCCGGTCCTCCCACCTCCCACGAACCACTCCAGGTGTCTAAGGTGAAGCTTTGGTCCCATCCCTCAACTAGAGACCTTTAATGGCTCCACTAGATCTGCTGCACACAACCCAACCCAAACTCAGCTTAGTCACCACAAGACTGTCCTATTCATCCTCTTCTCCCAAGAAGTCCCTCAGAGCACCCCACACGTAGTTGGTGCTGCAGTGACCTTTGTGACGTTGGTCTGGATTAACACTCACCTACAACAGTAATCGGAAGGGGAAGGAGCCAACGTCTGCTGAGCACCCACTACATTCCAGACAATGAACTAGGTGCCTATGAGTTCTATTTCCTTTTGACACCTGTTTCAACATGTTTGCAGATGGAAAAGGGAAATGCAGAGAAAATTGTTACAGTAAAAGCTCCTGTGATGCAAGGCCATCAACTAACATTTCTCCCTATCTACGTGATCACAAGAAGCTCTGTTCAGATTCCAGTAGGTATTCTGTGAGAACTCTGCCATGTGTAGGTGTATTTTGATGCATTTGTGGAAGGAGGTGAGCTCCATGTCCTTCTATTCTGCCATCTTGATTGCCTTCCCCAACTGGTCAAAACGAAGATCATCAGGTGGTGACAGATTCCAAAGTGCACTTTGTTTTGAAGAACGATGAACTTGATCTCTATGGTCATCTATAATTCTCTAATTCTAAGGCATGACTGCATATGCAAGACAGATCCAATGTGAGATGCGTTTTATGATTTTCTACGCCACAACAATATCCAATCATTCTATTAACTAGAATATTCCATTGACCACAAAATCCCACTCCCTGATGCTCTTGCGTACCAGCCACACATTGTGGATCTTCACTGTGACACTGGGGCATTCAGCTAAATATGGTTGCCAAAAGGAATGCACCAAGGAAAACAGACCCACCAGACTAAACACCTCAGATATATAGTTGGGACCCCCTGGAGGACTCCATCCTGGGCCTGAAGCCCATCCAGAAACTGAGCCTCACAAATATTGCAATCCACATTTGAACAACTCAGCTCCTGCTGGGTTGAAGTGATCTGCCCCTACTTTGGTTGCCTGCCAGAGAATAGAGTGAATCCTTTATGGAGGAAGACATTGACTTCCAAAGCCTCCAAAATGTCTTTTATATAATTTCCAGCATTCAACTACAAATTTCCATGCATATCAAGAAACTTGGCCAAGGGAAAAAACACATTAGATACCAACCCTCAATGGACTGTGATTTTGGACTTACTAGGCACTGACTTTAAAATACCAAGAAATTAATACATGCAAGTTAAGATATGGTAAAACAAAGACTGTCACCAGACAATGGGAATTGATGGAAAAAAGAATCCCACAGAAAGTATGTAGCTAAAAATGACTGTCCGTGAAAAAGAAATCAATAGAGGGTTGTAGTAGCAGACTGAAACAGGTGAAGCATGGATTAGTGAGCCAGAAGACAACAGAAAATATCATGACTGCATTGCAGAGAGCTAAAAGAATGGAAAACAAAGAAGAGAAAGAAACTCAAGGCACATGGGGAAAAAGTCTAAAAGATGGAGTCACAGAAAGGGAGGAGTTTGCAAGTGTTGGTGAGGGTTTAGAGCAGCCAGAACTCTTCTGCTCTGCTAGAGGGGATATAAAATGGTACAGCCACTTTGGAAAATAGTTGCTTCAAAAGCTAACAATACACCTACCATATGGTTGGTCCAGGCATTCAACTTCCATGTACATACCAGAGAGAAATGCATACATGTGTGCACTAAATAATATGTACTAGAATGTCCAGAAGAGCTTATTGATAACAGCCAAAAACTGTTTTTAAAAAATGTTGAGCACAAAGGATCTGTGGTACATCTACAGAACAGAATACCAGAAAGTCAAGACAAAGAGTGAACTACAAGTAGCTGCAACAATGTGGGTGAATCTCATAAAGATAATGATGGCTGGAAGGTGGATTTAAAGGAACACATACCATGTGATCCCATTTAGATAAAGTTCAAACACAGATAAAACTAATCTAGGTTGAGAGTAGTCAGGATGCTGATTATTTCGGGGATGGGGGTGGGGAGGTAGTTACTGGGAGGAGCTGGTAAGAAAGGGAGCTGGCCAGACACTCACAGCTGGGACTTGGTGTTCCCCTGTTGAACAGGAACAATTTCACAAAAGAAAAATATCAAACAACATCACTGTGTGTCTGTGATGGATCAAGACAAAATCTGTAATCATGTCTGACTACCAATGAAAACATGAACATTGTCCAAACCACAAAAATCATCAAATACCCTCCCTTTCCTAGCTAACGTGACTGTTGATTCTTTACAAATTATAGTTTTAGTCTCTCTTCTTCCTCCCACCATAGAGATTTCACATACCCTTGGTTCCTGACAGCATCCATTCGAGAGCAAAGACCTGTTTCTTTCATTCTCCCCCAAATCACCCCAAAGAGGACGCACATCTTGTCAGTCTTTTTTCTAACACCCCCTCATACGGAGACACCACACAGTGTGCGTTCCCCCTCACTGCCATGAGTAATAAATTCAACTTGTTCAACCACAGATGTGTCCCTGGTGGTCTTTGGCGGGAGGGCTTTGGCACTGGTAATGTTCTATTCCTTGAAATGAACGGTGGTTACGTGTATGTTTCACTTTGTGAAATTCATCATGCTTGTGATTGGTGCTCAACATATATACATATGTATATGCTGCAGAAACAACAGTACAACAGATGCTCATAGCAAGTTACCCACTGTATTAAATAAAAGCTTCCCAATTAGAAAGAAATCATACAGCGAATACCGTGCCATTAAGTATGCACATAACAAACCTTTTTTAAATTCCTGTTATGTCCCTGGGGTTTTTCTGGGTGTTTGGGGGCACAGAAATGCAGAACACATATTTCTAGTTCTTAAGGGGCTTATAGCCAGGTAGCATAGACATCTAAATGCTGCAAAGCTGTGGAAGGGTGGTCAGTTTTGAAAGGTGCATTGTATGCCTTGGGCTGACCTGAAAAGGCATTTCCAGGTGGACACGTCAGGAGGAACAGGGCCCAGGAGCCAGATAAATGCAGCAGGTAACTGCAAACACCGGGGAAAGGAAGGCGACAAGGGTGGAGGATGTGAGTAAGCTAACGGGTCACAGACTGGGGCCAAGGTAGAACAGGGAGCAAGGACGAGTTTGTCTGCCCCCATGTTTGTCAGAGCTGTCGGCATTTTGGGTGGGACAGTTCTGTGCTGGGCAGATCTATCTCACACCCTGTAGGATGTTTCATCTCCCTGCCTACCCCTGATCAATTTCAGTCCTGCCCAGTCTTGTGACAGCTGACAATGTCTGTTCACACTGCAAAGCAGTACAGGTACAGAGGAAGAGCTGCAAAAGGCAATGTGTAACTTCTTGATCTCAGGGATGGTTACCAGGCTGTGCTCACTTTCTAAAATTCATTGAGCCATACCCTTAAAATGTACACTTTCCTGGATAAATGTTACATTTTGATTTAAAAGTTTATAGAAAAAACTGGTGGGATGCAGCTTAAAGGAATATATATGGAGGGAAATTTATCATCTTAAATATATTGGGAACAAACACTGAAAACTTCTTAGCTAAGCATCCTCCTCAAGAAGCTATGTAAAGAAACAACACGGACGTACTGTCGAGCACAGGGAACTATATTCAATAGCTTGCAATAACCTATAATGGAAAAGAATCTGAAAAAGTATATATGTATAACTAAATCACTATACTGTACACCAGAAACTAACACAGCACTGTAAATCGACTATACTTCAATTAAAAAAGAAGCTATCAACACATTGTAATTGACTGTACTTCAATAAAAAAGATGTTAAAAAATATAAAGAACAACAAAATGATTTCAAATAATAGGAAAGAGATGAATAAGAGTAAAACACATTTTCCAAAAATATATATTTGACACATGAAACTAAAACACCAGTAAAAGAGAAAAGGTCTAGAGACCACTCAAATCTGATTAAGGTAAAACTAAAACAAACAGAATCAGGAATGAGAAAGGGAACATAATATAACCAGAAGAGATTTTTAAAGGATGAGAACACAATGTGAATCTTCAAATTTAAATGTGGTGGCCTGATCACAAGCATTTAAGTCAGGTGTTCCCTAAGACACAAAAATAACAACCATAAACAAATGTTCTTTTTGATGTATAAACTCACCGTGTGGACAAAGGGAACAGGAGAGGAGATGCGTGAGAGCACAAATTTCTGGAAAGCAGCCAAAGGAGTGGGCAGAGAATCAGCTGAGGAGACCAGTGGAGATTCAGCCCTTGTCCCAGCAGAATCCCTCAGGGGCACATAAGATAATAATTAGTATAAATATTAAGGATTCCCAGGTCTGGATTATGGGGCCCCAGTGTGGATCTGGGGTGCCTCAGGATGATCGGTGCTTTCAATAGAAATCTGAGGTCAAAGGATTGGTTTAGATGCCTAGAGAACATTATTAATAGTGTTTTAGAGGTTTTAGCTAAAGGAGTAAGTCAAGAAAATAAAGTAACTTACATAAGTTTGCGGGGAGTCTGGTGCTGCTCTGTGCCTCCCAGACAACTGAATGGGAATAAATCACTATTAATATTGTCACAGAAGGTTTAGGTATGGGAAATATGAAAATGGAATAATTGACAGAATGTTTGGGGGAGTACTCAATGCCCCCATTTTCTGGGTCCAGGAGAGGTCAGAAAATGAAATAACCCATATAAATGTTGGGAATCCACACACTGCTATGTGGTGGGTCTGGGTCAGGGCTGGGAGGGGCCTCTGTACTCTGGTCTTACCTATTATTGCAGTACCATCAGATGTGGCTGACTCTGTAATTCAGGTGGGTCTTTTACTTATGCCGTCGCCAAGCCAGGCCACCCTTTTCACAGCTGCAGCAGGAACTGCCGCAGCATCAAGATGAGTTCATCGCTGGAGGAACACCCCCACCATCCCAGGGGTACTTAGAAGGCAGACGACACACAAGCAAGAGGCTGTGGACACGGGAGAGGGCAGAGATCAGCAGAAAGGCCCAGCACCTGAAAGTGTTTTATGCCCCGCCCTGCTTGGAATGATAAAATAAGAATGATGGTAATATTCACCTGGCGCCTTATTAGGAAGAGAAAATGAGCTGAAGAAAGTAAAGCACAGTGCCGGCACATAAGGGCGGAATGCTAGCGGCTATTATTTCTGTTAGCACATGTCTATCTCTCCCTCACCAGAATGCCCTTTTCTCACCCCAGAAAACCCATCACTCCCCTTTAGTATGCTCACAGCCGAGCTCGGAACACTCTGCACCAGTCACCAGGTAGCTACCATCTTCACCACCATGTCGTAAACTAAGAAACTGAGGCACGGAGCGATAAGGAAAAGGTGCCCAAGTTTACACGGACCACAAACGTACGGTGTGTACAAAGCCTGAACACCTCCGCCGCCGCCAGCAAGCACCTGAGCACAGCCCTCGCACCAAAGACTCGCCCACAAGGAAACCCAAACTCTGGCTGTGCTCTGTACCCGCCCTTCCCGACTATAGTGGGCCCGAAGAAGGCGTGGTGGGCGGGGCGTGTGGGGCCCTCTACGAACGCCCCGCCCACCAGGACCGCCCCACAGTCCCGCCC